GTCAGCCTAAAATACATGAAAGTCCTGCGATGTTGAAGAAAAAGCCATTAGCTCTTCGAGAAAAGAAAACAGACTATCGCTTTTTCAGGCTCCATTTTTCACCGCTGAATTGGAGATGTAACACCATGGTAACGACGCGCAGTGTGTCCATGCAAACCTACGTCTTCTGTAGGCTAGACCGTCCCAATTCACAGCTGTTTATGCAGCCGACAYGAGCAGCCTACAGCCCACGTCGGCTGCAACCCATGAATTGAGACACAGCCTATGAACAATAAAGCATCAAGGCACTAAAGACCTATTGTTTGGTTGATGGCCCTCCTATGAATGTGACCAACCTGTTTGTCCACCATGTGGAGGCAGGGCTTACAAGGCTGAGTTCAACTGAAACTCATCAGACTGAAGAAGTCTCTTGGAGGAGAGACGAAACGTTTCACTAAAGAAGAACCCATCCAGAGGACCTACTGATTTTTTCTTTTTGATTTCAGCCTTTATGATTTTGAACTTTGTCAGTTAAACAATACGTGATGATAAAAAGAAAGCAAAGTGTGTCACATTTAAATCCATGTTTGTGACAAGTGTTTTGTCTTTGTCTCCTCTGCAGGTGAAGGTAGAAAGTGTGTGAGCCCTGATTCAGCAGCATGGATCAGTGTGAGGACAGAGAGGAGGGAGCCCCTCATTGTAGAACCACTCAGAGGTGAGARGACCACCTCTACCCGTCCCCCACTCTGCTCCACATTACATTTCATCATCAACACATCAACAATCAAGGCAGCAACAAGGCTCAGTGGTAAGCACTGATGCCTCAAGCCAGGTTCCCATTAACGCTTTTTGGGCATCTACGTTTAAACTGGGACACAGACTAGATGCACGTCTGAAGAGGGAGGGAAGAGTAGGGATGGGTACCGAATTCTATACTTTTTTAAGTACAGACCGAATTCCGTCAGGGCTGCCACGATTAATCGATTAATCGACGACTAATCAATTATTAAAATAATCGATGACTAATTTAATAATCGATTAATCGTTTTTTTTTTTTTGTTCTTTACTTTGTTTTTCTCTCCAAACTGCTTTGACACCTTCCACTGCCACATCTGCATTTCTGTCCTTGACACACATGCACAGTAGTGGTAACTAGGATAGGCCGTGGACGTCACAAGACATTATACAGACGTATCATGGCTACCTGACAACAGAGCTCAAAGTGTGGGATCATTTTAAGAAAATGAAAGAGAAACCTGTGCAATGCAATATCTGTAAGGCAGAATTTACCYTCCACAGCAATTATTTTAGTTAGCATATAGCTAAAATCTAACGATGGTTATGTAATAGCAGCTGCATTCTGGTACGATAAGCTCTATGTTTTATATTCAGTTAACAAATGATCTGATTAGTCGACTAATCGAAAAAAATAATCTGTGATTAATYGATAATAAAAATAATTGTTTGTGGCAGCCCTACTGTCGGTACTACCGAGAACCTGTTCACGTAACATCAAACGTTACCATGTTTCGGTACTGAAACGCATCATTGCAACCGTATTGGCTTAAGAGTGGTGAGTTTTCCATGCTTGTCCTGAACGCAGCATCGCGCAAGAGCGTAAGTCATTACGCTCAGCAGCTGCTGGTTCAGTAAACACAGCTCAGTCTGAATGTAACTTGAAAGCGAGCCTCGCAGCTCGCAGCTCCTAAACGCACCGAACAGACTGCCTCTGAATTATCTGGTGGATTAATTATCTTGTGAGCATAACGTTTGCTTGCTCAAAGTAAATAAAGCACCGCCACTTTCTTTATTTCATCCACCGTTAAACAGAGACCGACAGAGGAAAACAACAGAGGCACTTCCCAACAGTCTGAACGAGTCTGACACAAGCAGCCAGCTTGAAGTGTTGGGCATGTTTTGGATGCCCAAAATGTAGCTTGAATACCTTTTTAATTATTATGACACCCCCCCTCCCTCCCCCCCCCGCACGCGAAGCGTAAGCGGGAGTCATATTGTTTTCATACAATTATTAAATTTTTTTCCAGTGATTTTTGGTCAACCGTAGCACGGAAATGGCTGCACCGGTCAACATGAAATTTGGCAGGACTGTAGATGAGTCTGACCTGCACTGC